CTCTTAGTAGACAAGTAGTAAGTTCCATTCTTCAATATTAGCTAACATTATTGAGTTTTTTTTTTTTTAATTCTGTGTTAAATTAGTGTTCTTTTCTTTAGTCTAACATTATAAATTATTTGCATTACTTTTTATGGTGTATTATTATCATTGCTGGAAGTGTCTATGCATATATTTGCATATATAAACAAAAAAGAGAAAGAGGGAGAAGTTTCAAAAAAAAAACAATAGAGAGAAAGAAGTGATTAAAAAAAATGAGGGTGATGAGATGATTTAAAAAAAAAAGAAGGGAAGCATAAAAAAAGGGGGAATGAAGGAGGGGTTTCAAAAATTGAATAAGAGGAAGTAAAAAAAAAAAAGATGGAGATTTTTGTATTTTTGTACATTTTCTAATTCATACATTTGCTACCTCATCGACACCGACCCCGAAGGTATAATCTCCAAAACTAAAATTTATTTTTCTTGTCATTTGCGATGAACCGGGGAACCACCTATACGCACTCTAATAGCATGGTAGGAGGGAGCACGGTGCGACACCTACGATAAGGCGGGCAATCACTTAAATCCCATTCTTGTCATTTGTAGTGGATCGGGGAACCACCTATACGCACTCTCGTAGCACGATAGGAGGGAGCCCGGTGTCACGCCTACAACGAGATATGTAATCACCTTAAATCCCATTTTTGGCATCTGTGATAGACCAGAGAACCACCTATACGCACTCTAGTAGCACGGTAGAAGGGAGCCCGATGCAACGCATACGGTAAAGTGGGAAAACCCCATACACGCTCTTTTAGCATGGTGGGGAGAGCCGCTTGTATCCTTCGTATGAGTACATTTGAAGAACCCATACATGCTCATGTAGCCTAGTGGGATGAAAGATATACGGCCCGGTGTCCCTCGACACCTACCATAAATGCTCTGTAGCATAGTGGGATGGCCGAGTTTCTCGTGGTTTCCCCTAAACGGAGGAGATGATGGGAGGCTGCCAAATTTTTTGGTGAAGCAGAGGTCCTAACTTAGACAGAATCTGGATAATTTGAACTTGAGCTCAGATTTGAATTTGAGAAAATAAAATGACTTTAAATCAAATTGCAAATTAATTAAAGTTGCAAGCATTGAATCATAACTTAAATGAACTTAAATCGTAGAAAAGCATAATGAACTGCATAGAAGACTTGCGATTGTAACCTGAACTGAATGAGACTCAAATGAATTTGAGGTTGAACTTAATGATAGTGAATTGGATGCACATATTGGACCATAAGGGACTTGAACTCACATTTGTTTTAAAATCAAATGAAATGAACAAGGACTTGAACATTTGAACTCAAGCCAAAACTTGATTTGGACCAAAGTGAACTCAAACTTGAATTTGAACAAAAACACTTTAAACAAGACTTGGACTATAGGGAACTGAACTTCAAATTGATATGCAATCAAAGGAAAAGTGCTAAAACCAAATTATAATTTTGATTAATCAAACGAATATCATTAAATAAATATGGGGTTCTTGTTGAATAAAACTTCAATAACATATACTCTAATGGCAAGATAAAGTAAGCAGACATTGCAAACCACATAAAGATGAGGATGGTTAATTGCAAAATATGTCAACCATACTAGCAAGTACACAAGGACTTGTGATAGAAGCAGAATCATGCATACAAATTTTTTACAAGATAATGATGCAAATCATTTAAGTGAATGTCAACAATCAAATGAAAGAACCTATAGTGAACTAACCCTCAGTGCACTTAGAAACAACCAACATGTATGAGGAGATGAGTAAAAAATGTTGTGGTGTCCTTGCAATAAATAACGATCAGTTGTGATATTTTTTTATCAATTATATGTTAAAGATAGTGGTCCAATAGCATAAAAAACTGATGGAATCCATGAAGAATATGATTAGTATTAGTTAGCCCATAATGGCTAGTTCACGACTAATGAAGACTAGTATGGTAAAAAGTTTAATGACCCGTTCGTAGTAAGCGATGATAGATGTATGCAATAAAAGTGGTCACTCTCCAATGTGTTGAGTTTAGTAAATAGGTTGTTAGACCTAAGTTAATGTCCCAAGGCTACCAAGAGGGGGGGTGATTTGGTAGTTTAAAAATTTAACCCTCTTTGAAAATGTGTTGAACCGAAATAAAATTTTTTTTATTAAATTTTATTAAAAAAAAAATTTCAACCACAAAGTTTTTAAACAAAAGTAAAATATGAAAAATAAAAAGCAGTAAAGTAAATGACACAAGATTTATAGTGGTTCGGTCTAAACCAGACCTACATCCACTCCCCAGAGGCACCCTCTGAGTATTGCACTAATACCAATAGTGACTCTCCTTTTGCACCCACAGTAAGGCGGAGAAACCTTTACAAACACTCTTTCCACCACTACCTGGTGCGGCAGAGAACCGTCATCCTTTTACACAATCCCTAGTGTTGGTAGAGAACCTTCCGTCCTTTCACACTCTCCTAGTATGGGCAGAGAACCCTTCAGCTATTCACACTCTCCAAATGTAGGCAATAAACCCTTCGGCTGTTCACACTCTCCAAGTGTAGGCAGCAAACCCTTCGGCTGTTCACACTCTCTAAGTGTCGACAGCGAACCAGATCTCCTTGACAAATCTTCTCATAAGAAATCTAAAAGGAAGAAAGGAAAGAGTGAAGTAATCCCAATTTGCAAGTAGAGATTCTTACCTTTAAACACTAAGTGAAGGCTTCACGCTCCTGTGGTAGGAATCCTCCTTTGAATGCTCTCTCACACTCTCTCCTTGACTTTTCTCTCAATAGGCACAAAGATCAAATGACAAAAAGATTGGGCGGCAGTCTAATTTGGACTATTTATACAAAAGACAAGAAAAACCGCCCAAAAACTGCAAGTTTTCAATTATGTATGCAGTGGATCGTCCCGTACGATCGTGGATCGTCCTGGACGATTTTACTTAAAAGTTTTGAAACGAACCATTTTGTCTATGTGTACGAAATATTTTCGTACAAGCTGATCGTTCCGTACGAATCAAGTTCGCACGGTACGAACGGTTATTATACGATTGGTTCCAAAACCTGCAGAATGAATATAGAAAAATTGTCTAAGTCGGTTTATATCGTCAGGAATAATATATGTTCGTCCGGACGAAAATCTTATAGAGACCAAATCATCATTGACGATAATTATTTTTGTTTGGACGAAATTCTTACAGAGAGCAAATCATCTCGGACGATATTTAATTTCGTCTGGACGAAAATTTTACAGAGAGCAAATCGTCCCGGACGATATTTAATTTCGTCCTGGACGAATAGGACTAAGAAAATTTTTCTAGCCAGTTCTTATTCATTTCATTTGATCTTAATAGGAGATAATTGTCTGATCATGCCGTACGAACTGATATCGTCCCGTACGATCAGTATAAATTTTATATGATCTCCTTATGTGTGTGTGTGTGTATGTTTTTATTCACTCAATTACAATCACTCCCTCTCAATTAAAAATATAATTTTAAGATTCAAAAACTAAAGGTATTTCTTTCTGAATTTGATTTGAAGACTTTGAGTTTGAGAGTTTTATTCACCTGAAATGTTAGTACACACAAGAGCAAATACAAATCTTCTAAAATTGTTAGGAGATAACTACACATTTGAATAATAATGTTTGGAATCATCAAAACTATATAAGTTGCAAAAATGTAAAACATACAAATAGCAACTATCTTAATAATCTCCCCCTTGTTGATGATGGCAAAATAATTATTTTTTGTATGATTTCAATTTAAAAAATCTCCTAAACTCCCCCTGAAATGATGAATACATGAAAATAAGGAGGCATTTTGAACTATATAAAACACAATTTTTGTTTTTCAAAATTTTTTAATAAAAATAAAAAATATAAGATAATACTAATAACACAAACTAAATGACACAAAAAAATGACACAAATACAAACATGCAAACACAATAATTTTTCCCCCTTTTTGACAACAACAAAAAGTGAAGAAGAAATAGACAAGAAATGTAAG